TTTTCAAAATCATATCATGAATTATACGAATTATTGGCCCAATGCAGCTTTAATAGTGTGGAAAGAATGGCATGACAATAGATATATATATATATATATATATATATATATATATATTCGTTAAAGCTCAGATTCTTTTGAGTCCTAAAATTGGTAGCCAGGCCTGCAGAAAAGGAAATTGAGAATGATGGCGTTGTTGATAAATGACTTCAATTCAATTATAATGCATGCTTAAATAAGGGCAACCATTGCTTTGCTAATGGAGTTGACCATCATTGAATGTATGCGTAGAGAAAAGGCTAACAAACCCCACATTCTCTAATTGCATTCTACTAAGTCAATGCAGGTTCTCAATTCCATGCCCTTTGAGCCATCCAAAAAGCAATTGTGCTTCTCTATTCCACACATAAAAGCTCATACAATTTGTTCAATGAAAAGCTATGTGAAACAATGCTAAAGACTGACCCAACAAAACACCTTTAATGATTGCTAAGAATATGTATACTTACGTTTATGTGTGTGTGTGGCATATCAAAGCATCCAATGAAAATATAAATTGGATATTACGTCGGCCTCCAGTGTAAAATGTCTTAATAACAGAAGTCCTCTTCTCTAGTCTAAAAAATAACACTAACCTCCATTATAATTGTAGTCGGAATAACACTAACTTCCCTTGTCATAAAATTTGTCCGTGTTGTCTACCAATGTCATGTCTAAACTGAATACCCAATTTTGCCTCTAGAATGCTTGAAAAGACAATTTTGTCCATATATTGTAATGGTAAAAGTACAATGTGCATATAATTGTCATTTTACGTGTTTGATAGACAGACGACATTAAATAAGGAGATCAGTGTTATTTTTGAAACTATAAAAAAAATTCTTGTTATTTTGACATTCTATTAATTTACCCAAATATAAATTAGGTTGGTTTAAAAGAAATCTTGTGTGTTGCATTCACATCTTTTTTTGGTAAGGAGAAGTGGGAATAAAAAGGGTGCTTTATTAAGTTTGGTATTCATATGATTGAGAGTCGATTTCAAACAAACTAATTAATGCTAAGTTGTCTGTTTTGTCTATCCTTAATTAATACTACATTTGAAACATGGATCATTTTGGGCAAATAATTGTTCATCATAGGTTGACTTGGCATGAGCCAGCCACGATTCTAAGCCATCAGCTACCAACCCTGCTGGAGCATAGCGTGCTTATTTGTTTTCCACGCCGTATTAGTAGTGGGTTTTTGTGTTCAAATGATTCAAAGCGTAGGGCATATAACTGATTATAATTAAACACAATCATCAACCAAATCCAATACAAAACCTTTTGTGGTAAGATTCTTTATTATAAAATATATTAGGAGCCTATAATTACTACAAGGGTAAAGTACAGCCACACCTTTTGAGGTTTGGCAAAAGGACATCTAGAGAAAACTTACTTATTTTTTTGGACAAAAATACCCCCTGAAGGTTCAAAAATGGACAAAGACACCCTTTTATATAAAAAATTGACCAAATTACCATTTGACAGTTTAGGAGGCTTTTTTAACTTTACAATTTAATAAATTGGACCAATCTACCCTCATGAATAATTTATGTATAAAAAAAAAGTAAAAAAAAAAAAAACTTTATATTGTTCACTTTTTTTTTTTTTTAAAAAAAACTTTTTTAACTTTACAATTTAATAAATTAGACCAATATACCCTCATGAATAATTTATGTATAAAAAAAAGTAAAAAAAAAAAACTTTAAATTGTTCACTTCTTTTTTTTTTTTTTTTGTTATTTACTTTATAAATGTCCCAACTTCTTATAAAGAAAAATAGGTACCAATATAACTTTATGCATTTTAACTTTATGCATGCCGTTATTTTTTTTTTTTCCTTTGTTTTATTATTTTTTTTCCTTTTGTTTTATTATTATTTTTTCCCCTTTTATGTTAGGAAATGCATAATATTTGATATATAATTTAAGATGCATAAAGTTATACTGGAACAATATTTTTTATTTTTAAGGAAAAAAAATGGTTTAATTTTTTTAGATGAAAGAATTAAGCGTCTTAATTTAAAAATAAAAAAGAAAAAAAAAAGAAGTAATAACAAAATATAATTTATTTGAAATAAATGTATTGGATCAAAAAATCATTCTAGACGTCTACATTTTTAAGAAGTTGGAATATTTATAAAGTAAATAACAAAATAATAATAATAATAATAATAAGTGAACAATATAAAGTTTTTTTTTTCATTTTTTTTTTATGCATAAATTGTTCATGAGGGTAGATTGGTCCAATTTATTAAATTGTAAAGTTCAAAAAGTCTCCTAAACTGTCAAAGGGTAATTTGGTCAATTTCTCATGTAAAAGGGGTGTCTTTGTCCATTTTTTAATCTTCCGGAAGTGTCTTTGTCAAAAAAATAATTAAATTTCCTCTGAGTGTCTTTTTGTTAAATCTCAAGGGGTGTGCCTGTACTTTACCTTATATTTTAAAGCTACAAATCTAGACCAATTAAATGCCTATGTGGAAGGTATGTTGGTCAACCTCAATTTTAGTAATCGTTTTTTAGATTTCTATTTTTTATTTATTTTTTATTATTATTATTTTTGAACATTCAACCTCGCATTTGAGAGAGAGCTCATACCATATGTGCTAATGTTTGTTAGTAAGGTTAAGTTTATTTTGGTGCTTCAATTTTAACTAGAAATGCAACTATAAAAACGACACTTGTCTTTGTGAGAATGGGATCAATAATTACAATGTTAAGACCAACAGTGGAAGGCTAGTGATCAAATTTTGTGTCAAATTTCACTAAAGAAAGTCATTCTTCATTGAATTTGCTTCAAATGCAAGCCCGAACTTTAGTCACCACTCACCTATAGTTCAAAATTTCGAACTGTGAAGAACGTACATATGGTTGTTGTAATCAAACATATCGACTCATATTCAAATGATGAATGCAGTCAAAGTTGATGTCCAAATTGATATTGAAAAAACAATAGACATTAGCTCATGGTGTGTGAGCTCTTCTCAGCACTATGCAGTCAAGGAGACAAAGTCACAGGGAATGTTTCTGGTCCCAAGTGGGTAGAAAGCATGACCTAACAAGGAGTGGGAATGTGAGATGTGATGTCCAACAAACCCCATAAATGTGTTTCACTGCACCAAAACAATAAGCTTTTTGAGGCCTGGAAAATAAGCTCTCACAATAATTTCAATGCTGGCTCTATGCTTAGCCAACTATTATAGACAAAATCATCATAGTTTATCATCATGAGATGAAAGATAATCAAAAATCTTTCTGGGTTTATAGCTTCTTCAAAATTCAAAATAACATGGTTATATGTAAAAGGAGAAAGTTGTACCTAGAGAATTCTGGGACAGTGAGGACTAGGAGAGGAGGGTTAATAGGTCATAATATCTTTAGTGTAGTAGTATTCAAATTTTGTCTCTTGTGGACAGTTATTTTCATAAAAATTATTTTTCCTTAAGCTCGTATTATGTTCATATGTTATATTTATCCCCTCCAAGTGGCTCCAACTATACTTAATTTTGTTAGATTCTCTTTCCCTTTCTATATATCCTGTCCTTGTCTTTTAAATTACTATATTTATTTGAAAATATATTTACATGGTATCATTCCATCTATCCAATTATTATTGAATTGAATCAATCATAATTTATATAGAATTTTGTTTAATTAACACATTATCGAATTTGAATTATTAATGAATTATTCGAATTATCACATCAAATTTAAATTCATTGACAAATCACGAGCATCGATAGATAAAAAATCCATTTATTAAAGCCCAAATTCTGCATCAGATACTAATGATAATATTTAGTTACTCACTATTTACCAAGTTTAAAAAGAAAAAAAAGTTAGGGAAAAAGGAAAAAGAAAAGTGTAAAGATAGTTGCCTTTGGCTCTGTACTTGAAGGGAATATAAATGATGAAGAATAGTAATAAATAACAAAATACAAAAACTATATATATATATATATATTTATATTGATATCTTGAATATATAATAATAAAGAATAGAGAAAAGGAATGGTATTTCCAAGGGCACATGATAGAGAACAACTCTCCAAAGGGCTTCCCAAATGTCCATTTGTCCCCGGTCCATGTGTGAATAAGCAGACTTTTGGGTTCTGGGCTTCGGAGGGAGTGATGGATTATCGAGTCCACAGGGGGGGGTTTATTTTAAGGCAAATGGCCATGTGATAAAAGCAGCTTTGTTCTTCTTATAAAGCGACCACGCCCGTTTGGCTGCAATCATGTGGTCTACTTTCTTATAATTCATCTCTTCACTCCTTCCCATTTCTTATACTATTCTTCTCTTTCCTCTGTCTCCCCCCAATACCTTCCCCGATCTATTAATTCATTCTCAATTGCTACTATTATTCTTTTCCCATAATAACCCTCTTCTTATTTGTAATTACACAGCTTTTTCATCAAAATTAAATGAATCTATTTTGGATATATATGCTAGATGAAATCCCTTCTAACACCAACCCCCCAAAAAAAAAAAAAAAAAAAAAACACGAAAATGGGATTTTTTAATATATAATTTGAGGAATGTTAGCAATAGTCGATTTACAATCAATTGTAACAGTTTATTAAAATTACAAATAAATTATTATTATTATGGACAATGATACATTCTCTGAATTCGAAAGAATGCTATGAGGGTGATGTGAGTAAGGTGTAGGTCACATTTATGTAGTGAAATTCACACTTTCACTCAAATACAAGAATTTGGATCACAACTACAAGTTTTTGTTATTTGTAGAAAAAACAATGCCAGCAGGCAATTAATCACATCAGGTAAGCGTCAATTTGCCCAAGTGACTGTTGCTAACAATCCTCAATTAATTTAAGTGGAATTAATGGCATTATTAATAATTATTTGGAAATAGAAGGATATATTAGGTTTACAAAAATATATTAAATACTTTTTAGTCTAGGAAGTAGGAAAACCCACTCGTGCGGACCAACCACTCACGCTCCTATAATCAATGGTTAAAAAATAAAGAGTAATTATTTGGTGATTTAATTATATAGTAAAAAACAAAAAAAATAAATTAAAGAACAAACATAAGGCTCGAAAACCAGTGGGTTTTCGTCAAAGCTACAAAGTTGAAGCTCCAAAAGCGGATTTTACTCGCTTCCCAAAACCGCTCTCTATTATACCTTTCAAACACAGCCTTCCCAACCTTCGAGACCTCTCGTCTCTCTATATAAATATACACATAGATTTACTACTTCATATCAACCACCTCTATAAGCCTCATTCAATTCCTTCATTCCCAATCTCAATCACATTTTATAGATACACTTACTACTATTATTATAATACAAGATATAAGAAAGAAAAGAGTTCTAGAGAGAGAGTGTGTGTGTTCTAGTGAGAGACTGAGAGATGGCATCATCAGACAAGGTGGTGGAGACTGTGATGGTTGGGAATTATGTAGAGATGGAAACAGAAGGGAAGCCTAAGGATGTCAAATCGAGACTATCTAGCTTCTTCTGGCATGGTGGTTCTGTCTATGATGCCTGGTTTAGTTGTGCTTCAAATCAGGTCAATTATATACTATTTTCTTACTTGAATCCGTTACATGAATCATATGTTTAACGAATATTCATAAAATTCATGTTCGTATTAATCGTGACAAAATTTTACTACTACTTTCAAACTACCTAAGGTAACCCTAATATTATGTTTGTTTTATAATATGCAGGTGGCTCAAGTTCTGCTGACTTTGCCATACTCATTTTCTCAGCTTGGGATGGTTTCTGGCATACTGTTTCAGCTCTTTTATGGGTTGATGGGTAGTTGGACAGCCTATCTCATTAGCGTTCTCTACGTAGAGTACAGAACCAGAAAAGAAAGAGAAAAAGTTGATTTCAGAAACCATGTCATTCAGGTTAATTATATAATTAATTTCCACTCTAAAAATATTATATATTTTCATCTCTAAAAATTGCATTATATATACTATATTCAACTTAGAATACATATCTCACATGGGTTTGTGTTTTTTGTATGGCATTATTTTACAATTGAAGTGGTTTGAAGTTCTTGATGGGCTACTTGGAAAGCACTGGAGGAACGTGGGTTTGGCATTCAATTGCACTTTTCTTCTGTTTGGATCTGTGATTCAACTCATTGCTTGTGCTAGGTAATTAATTACCCATATCTCTGGCCTTTTCTTTTAACCCTATCGTTCTTTTTCATGTGTAAAAACTATTTTAATTAATTCAAATGAGTAAAGAACCAAAAAAATTTGAAGTACTGACAGTTTCTGCAAACTAACTAGGCATCTTTTATATATATTTATGCAGCAATATATATTACATTAATGATAATCTGGACAAGAGAACTTGGACCTACATCTTTGGAGCTTGTTGTGCCACTACAGTCTTCATTCCTTCATTTCACAACTACAGAATTTGGTCCTTCCTAGGCTTAATAATGACCACTTATACAGCTTGGTACCTTGCTGTTGCATCACTCCTCCATGGACAGGTAATACAACAACAATATATATATATATATATATATATATATATATCAGTACGTATGTAATTATGAAAATTGACAACTAAACCCATGACCGTATATTGAAAATGATGGGAAAACAATCTTGTTACTAAAATAATTTCAGTGGGATCCAATGTTTTTTATTCCGTACGTGCATGTGAGCTACAGTGATATTTTTACGTGGCTTTTAAAATTTTGAAAATTAACACTGCATGAGTTTTGCTTCTTTTACTGTAATGTGTGACCTTTAAGGCACAAAGATTCCCATAATTAAACCTCTTTGTTTCTACCCTATAAAGTAATATATTCAAGCAATATAAATAAAAAGTGAGCATTAGTCATATTTATGGAGTTTTTCACCATGGAAAACAGTTTTAATTTAATTTAATTTATTTTTTAAGTATTAGTGAAGTGGATAAGAGTTTATAAATTTTACATAATAGGAAATGATTAGTATTTTCCAACACACTAACAGAAATAATTTAATTTTTTTATAAAAAAAAAAAATTTCTAAAAGCTTTCTGTTTTTAATCATATTAACTTTAATTTAGATAACATAATGTTATATTGATATATCTATATTATATTTTGCTAGGTGGAAGGAGTAAAACATACGGGAGCAAGCAAGATGGTTCTCTACTTCACAGGAGCCACAAACATTCTCTACACATTTGGGGGACATGCCGTCACTGTGTAAGACAACCCTAGATTATATATATATATATATATATATATATATATATTCGTGACTTTTACGTTAATTACAGATTTGACTACGTTTATCAATGTGCAAAGGCCTTAATTGAGCTTGGGTAAAACCGTAAAAGTAAAGTCCATGCTGTAACGTCCATGTGAAAATGACTTAACCTTGGTTCGTTTTGACAAGACCTGTCCATGTGATCTAATGGACCAATCTTTATCATAGAGCTTATTGTACGTACCCCAAAAATCTGACCCATCTGATAATATGGACCATGGACCAATCTATTCCTTCAGGTACGTATCCTATCATGAATAAAGCCCAAAATTCCTTACAATATTTCTCATAAAATAATATTCCGAAATTGCCCTTGTTAGGCGTGGGAGACAAAAAGTCATCCTTTCTAGGAAACTCTTTTTCGATTAGAAAAGCCAGAACCTCCTTTTCTCTAGTAACTTTTGCTTTTCTCATGGGATGGCCCACTTGATCATTGAATTGTAGTACTCTGTTTGTATTGCTTTTAATGAGTAAAAATATAAAAATCTCGCGGTCCTCCTGTGCCAATTACTAAATTGTCACATAAATAAATATATTAATTTTATTTAAATATTTATTTGCATGTCAGCTAAAATCGGATTAGTCCGCAGACCATGTACTAATTTCTAGGGTTTGGGAGGTTGATGATGAGTAAGGCCTAGTACTCCCACCAGAAAGCCCAACACTAGTAGATCAAAAGAGAACTGAGAAAAATGAAAATTTTAAATTTTTACAAGACATTTTTTTCTTTTCTTTTCATGTTTTCCCATCTTTTTCGAGTGTCTACATTTTATTTTAATGCTTTAGAGCAAAACGTCCGAGGAAAAATATTCTATATTTTAATAAACAATAAATAGCATTATTTTTTTAAGAATTTGATAACCAAACACACAGCTAAATGCTCGACCGGATGGCCTTTTTCATATATGCTGGGCTTCATAAGAAGGGATTTGAGCCCAAGAGACCTGTATGCCCAATTAAATTGGGAACTGGCCCATTTTTATTTATTTTTAAGTAAATTATGGATAGGCCCAAACTATTATTGCGAAAAAAAAAAAAAATCATTTCCCACATAAAAATTAAGGTCAAATCAGATAGATATAGATTTTATTATTTATTTTTTTTATTATTATTATTTTTTTGCAATAGATAGATATGCATTGATAATGAAATATAGTGAAATATGATTGGTTTGGGCATGCAGAGAGATCATGCATGCAATGTGGAAGCCACAAAAGTTCAAGGCCATATACCTGGTGGCTACAGTGTATGTGCTGACACTGACGCTTCCCTCCGCAGCAGCAGTGTATTGGGCATTTGGCGACTTGCTTCTCAATCACTCCAACGCTTTTGCTCTCCTCCCAAGAACACACTTCAGAGACATGGCTGTCGTTTTGATGCTTATCCATCAGGCATGCACCAGCATTTATTCATTTTGTTTGTCTATATATATATATATATAAATGCAATTAATTGGTTTAACTTTAGTAAAGTGATCTAATTAATTAATTAATTATTGTTGATTTGATAAATGGCATGCAGTTTATTACATTTGGGTTCGCATGCACACCCTTATATTTTGTGTGGGAGAAGGCGGTAGGCATGCACGAGTGCAAGAGTATGTGCAAGCGCGCGGCGGCGAGATTGCCTGTGGTCGTCCCCATATGGTTTTTGGCCATCGTCTTCCCTTTCTTTGGGCCCATCAACTCCACCGTTGGATCATTACTCGTTAGCTTCACCGTCTACATCATCCCAGCTCTGGCCCACATCTTCACCTTCAAATCAGCAGCTGCCCGAGAGGTATACATCATCCATCATACTGCCTCATCGTTTGGACGTCCTATTTGATTTTCAATTAGACTACAGTAGCATTGTCCTTGATTAAAACCTCTCGCTCTCAATTAAACAGTGCCAAAAAATTGGATTGCAAAAGTCGTTCACAGTATTCCCTCTTAATTTATATATGTACAAACACATATATGTGTGTATATATATATATACATATAATATGGTACAGTACTGTAAAAGCACGAGATTCTTGCTGCACCAAGGGGCAGGATATCTGTTGGTGGTACATGATTGATTCCCTACATAAAGATTAGATAGTACTCCAAAATCTCCACATGAAAGTGTCTTTTTTCTCTGGTACTATAATTTAAAGGCTTGGAGCGTGTTAGCTACGCGCCTTTTATGGAGTGATCCTAACCGTTTGATTAAATTTTTTTGATGCAGAATGCAGTGGAACAACCGTCGAAGTATTTCGGCAGGTGGGCTGGCACGTATACGATCAATGTGTTTGTGGTAGTGTGGGTCCTTGTGGTTGGGTTCGGATTCGGTGGGTGGGCGAGCATGACAAACTTTATACACCAGATTGACACTTTTGGACTCTTCACCAAGTGTTACCAGTGCCCTCCTCAAGTCCTCCCACAGACACCAACACCACCACCTCACTTCCTTAACTTCACCGCACCTACTCCATCTCCGGCCAACTTCCACCACCAGCACCACCACTAGTCTCACAACCCTTGATCCGCCTATTTTATTCCCCACATTTGCCAACTCCAGAGCTCTATGAATTGAGGACCTATTTCACTTCCGAAATTACCCCTTCAAGAAAAAGAAAAAAAAAATCTCTTCCGGGCCCACCATTGATCTCAATCACGAAAAGTGTAGTGTCAATCGCGATCATCAACGTGTCTTTGGTTCTTATCAGTTCTCTCTACCTATAAAGCATACAAAACCCCACCCTTTTTCTGTCACTTCTCACCAAATGTTTTGTTTAGGTTAGACCTTAAATTGTTCTATGCAATATGTGAATCTTTTTCCTATTATGCTTAATGATTAAATGTTCCAGAGGAAGGATTCTCTCTCTCTCTCTCTCTCTCTCTCTCTCACACACACACACACACACAAATAGACAAAACCAATGCAGCTTCTTACAATTGCAAATAATTTGTGTCCGTTTCACCATGAAACTGTCCTTTAACTTGAAGAAGTGAATTACCCAAAAATAAATAAATAAATAAATAAAAGAAAAAATAGGTCTTATAAAAACCTGTTTGGGAATGTTATTGAACCCTTAAATATGCTTATCTTTTTAAAAATTTATTTTCAAAGTTTAACCCATTTGACCTCCATTGACATGGATTTGGTACAAGTGGATGTGCGTAGATGTGTGTTTCATATTGAATAATATTTCTCTGAGGCGAGTTATCACAAAACTAATATTATTCAATTTTAATCTTATTTATAGGAACTGTTGGAGAGGAACTAAAATTTTGACTTTATCTTTCTTGTCTTCAACCAAGTTTTTGGATGTTTGTAATGGAGAGAATCCTCATATTCTTAGACAAGACAAATTCAATATTATTGGAATAGTTGAATAATTCATGATAAAGAGTTAACCAGAAAGACATTATCAAAGGATTGTGTGACATCGAAGTTGGAAGCTCGATGTGTCATTGATGGAATATATACATGACCAAAAGCAAAAGCTTATATGTCGTGGTCAGACCCTGCTTAAATATCCCTTTTCAATCTAGCGCATGGGAGCCTCATCACCCAAGCCATAAAGGCCTCTCTCTTTTCAGTTTAAAAAGCCCTTTTATTCTCTTATATTGTTCCCACTTTATTATTATTATTATTATTATTATTATTATTATTTCTCTTATAATACGTATATGGATCCTACAATACACGTAGTATTTAAGTAAAGATTGCGATTTGAAAACAAGACTTTAATAATTTACTTTTCAAATTCCTACCAATGCCGTTATACCCCTAGGAACTGTCCTCATTTTATTTGCTAGACATATTTTAATATTTGAATATGAATTTTTTTTTTTTTTTGGTATGTTGTGGGTTCAAATTCAATGTTTAGTTCAAATTACTTCAAACTTTTAAACAATTTAGGAATTATTTCTACCAACGCTTAAATTTACTATTCCTTCTAATTATGGTTGAACAGAGAAGCACTAAACACTCGTAGGTATTGTCTATAAGTATATGTCCACGACAACAATCAAGTCTTTTTTTTTTTTTTTTTTCTTTTTCAATTTTTATTCTGCTCTATTTAAACACATAACCTTAATCTAGTACTCGTGTATTCATAAGATTCATATAATTCATGTTTAAATTGGTCATGACAAAGTATTACGTTGATTGTAAATTTACAAGGGTATGTCTGTTCCACAGCATGTTGTTAGGGTGACAAGAGTGAAGGACGGAAATGGGCCTCGCTTCAATTTCAGGAATGATCAGAAGCCCTCGTAATATTAGGCATCCATTTCTGAGATCTCAACCACCTCGAACTCAGCCCATACCCATATCCGAATTATAATTCTTACTTTTTATATATTTATAATATTGGTTAGCTTTATTCTATATAATTCAAAATCTTGATAAAAAAATTTCCTTTTTATGTATTTTAATTTATTATATATTATTCATTTCAAAAAATTAATATCCAGTTTATTTAATTTATTTTTCAGAAACTTTCATTCAATTCAGAATTTTTTAAATGCATAGTAATCTAACATGAAACTAAACCATTTTCCCCAACCCGAACTCAAAAATGTGAATGTGAGTTGGGCTCATGGGCTCAAGTTAAAGCTTCAATATCTTGAATAAGACTTTTATATTAGTTAGTTCCTTAATTCAGCCCAACCCGTCAAACGACTTAAAATACCTCGTACAAAGAAATATTGAAATTTTAAAATAAATAATTAATACATAAAAATAGAAACAGTTAAGTTGGATCACAAGTTCGTTGCCGTCATTCCTTATTCGACTAATAACAGAATATATATATATATATATATTGGGTTGATTAAATTAATTTTATCAAATTTGAAAATTACATCCATGATCATGGATTTAATTACATACGAAAAAAACATGGTAAACATCCTGAAAAACGAAAAATTATTCATTATAACTGTTGCAAGGATGACCAGTTACAAATAATCCTCCACCAAAACACGTATATCAACTTTTTGATTATATTATAGGTTTACATTGCTTTTGTTGAACATCATGTTGTAAGAATTACAATGAATAATTTCTACATCATGTTGCAAGAATTACAATGAATAATTTCTACCTCAAGAAACCAAATGCATTTCAGAAGTGCAATCCTTTACTTTTATGCCACAGCCCGAACAACCTCCATGGTCAGATAATAAATAAGAAGACCATAATCACTTAACAATTCATAAGTTTCTCCCATGAATGGCTACACCCAGAGTTAATTCTTGAAATGGTCTGGTCGAGTGCTTATGAGGTCACTAAACAATGTCGTTTCAGCATTCAAGGGGCTACATAGTTCCAAAACTATATTCAAATCTGTAGATGACCACCACATTTCGTTCTCTTTCTAGAATACATCTTTATGAAAACACTATTACCTATTGCATCCAGTGATATGCTGATGAAACTAAACTGCTAAACTAGTGCCGCTCTCAAGTTTCGGGTGAAGCTCTCATGTTCCAACTCTCTATAATTTAATTTAATTTTGCCGTTTTTAGCTCCCACCCTAATACTCGGTGTGTGTGATTTAGAACTAAACCTGTGCAGTCCATATCCATTTGTTGCAGTCAAACAACCACCACAAAGCCGGTAGTAATACTACTTCCCTATATAACTCCAACCGCAAAAAAGACTATTTAACCAACCAAATGGTCACTGTGATTTAGCCCATTTGTTGTATAATAATAGTAACCTCATAACCCAAATACCATTTTTCCTTCTTTCTTTTTAAATATTTCATTAAACACCTTGCTCACTGCAACTATAACCGACCAAATGCTTACCAACATATAACAAAGTGAATAATAAGCCAAATCTGGCACTAGTATTATGCATGAGAAACCAGTATTATGTGTTTGCAACCCCAGAATTGAAGAAAAATAAATACTACGTATAAAAATTCACAAACAAACCAGATCAAGATTAATCAAACTGCCAGAACTTAGAATTTACCAGAATACCCAATAAAGCCCCATTAACCTCTCACAACTCAATCAAGAACTCAAAACACATTGTTACAGCTAAACATTTTAAGTCCCAACAACCTAACTTCACTTTCATGATTATATATATATATATATTATGGAAAATATTTTCTATCCTTTCTCTCTTTCTTTGTTTTAGGAAAGTTGGGAATGCAAGGAGCAATTATTCAGAGTCTAAAAGACAAAAGTAGTCTCAACAATAAAGAGACCATGTTTGTGTGTGTGTGTGTGTGTGTGAGAGAGAGAGAGAGCCAAGGCATGAAGGAAGTATGAACACTACTACAAGCACAAAACCAAAAAGCCATGTGATACATTCCATAATGGGTTGCTTTATGTTGCATTATTCATGTGGTTATCCACCAATAGTTTCAAAACTTTTCCAAACAATAGAAACCCAAGTAATTGAATTATTGATGAAAACTTTCCCTCAACTTCTCAAACAATGGAAAGCAAGAGATTGGACCTATTTGCACCACGGCCCTACCCTATTCCAAACATACCTTATAAACAAGAAAAAGACACCTTCCCATCAAGTTCAAATGTAATCAATTTTTATGAAAAGCAACAACAATAAATAACACACAAGAAAGGGACCATTAACTCCATTGTTATCATCACCATCACATTCAGAAGATAATTAGAACCAACATATAAAAAATGAATTACGAAAAACCCAGTTCATTGATATAAAACCAACATGTATACATATACATGTGTGTATATATATGACTAGAGAGAGACCACAGATAAAGCAAACCCTAAAGCTCTCTTAAATCGTCTTCTTTAAACTACCATACCACAAACATAATACCTAAGAGAGAAGAGAAAATACAATCACCATATCCGTCAAAAGACTAACAAAGCAGACACGAGAACATATTTAAAGAGGTGGCCATATGATGACAGTAACACCCACAAAACAAAGATTTCATATGGTTCACCATCCACAAGCTTAATAACTGTAAAACTAATACTAGGAGCAAAAGAGAGGAGTAAAACGTGAAACGACACATTTACCCCTGCTTTTTTCACCCATTTCAGCCAGAAGGGTGGGGGCATTCTCGGGCAAAATGCCCTTCCTCCCCACAGTTGAAGCAACCATTGCCTCCGCCGCCACCTCCGCCTCGGCCGCCATAACTCCCCCCGCCACCGCCACCGCCGCCGCCCTGATAGCAGTCCCTCGCCATATGTCCAGTCTCGCCACACTTGAAACAAGCGTTACTACCGCCGCCTCCGCCGCCGTAACTTCCACCTCCATAGCCGCCGCTGCCGCCTCCATAACCGCCTCCACCGCCTCCATAACCTCCGCCTCCACCGCCGTAGCTGCCACCTCCACCACGTCCACCTCTACTTCCACCTCCACCGCCATAACCTCCACCTCCACCATACCCACCACCAGAACCACCTCTTCCGCCGCTACCGCCTCCTCCGCCACCGCCACGGGTACTCCCCTGAACGTTCTCCCCGTTTGGACCGGTGACGTCGACAGCTTTGGTACGTCCGTCACCGCCCGATTCGATCACGAACTCGACCGATTCACCATCTCCGAGACTGCGAAAGCCCTCGGATCTGATGGATGACTGGTGAACAAAGAGATCCTCACCGCCATCGTCAGGAGTGATGAAGCCAAAACCCTTCTGATCGTTGAACCACTTCACCACCCCCTTCATTCTGCTGTTACCTCCCTCCTCCATTGAAACCCAAATCCAACCCTCTTCACAAAAGACCCTAACTCGGAGCGAGAGAGCAAACCCAACCCAACCCTACTCCCTCTCTCTGTCTCACTTTCTCTCTCTCTCTCCAACTTCTGTCTTGTGGATTTTGCATTGGTGGGGGGCTCACTATTATATCCGAAATTGCAAGAGGGTGGAGTGCCACGTCAGCAGGAAATGGGGATTTTTTTTTTTTTCTCTAGAAATGGGGATTTTAGTGGGGTCCGTTTTCGCTTCTGTTGGTAATCGGAACGACAGGTGGGGTAGTGTGTGGGAATCCAACGGCCAGGGAATTCATTGATGAGTTTGTTTAAGCCGTTGGATGGAAAAGTATTGGTGTGTGAGCCTCACTGGGAATGGGCGAGGAATGGTCAACTATATTTCAACCATTGGTCACATACAAAATGTGAACTGTATATAATATACTCGTACCTTCTTTGTCATAATTGAGACAATTACCCAAGTTCTTAGTTCTAACGTCTAAGCATCTAACTACTAACTTAACTCTATATATTGGTAATTATACTTATATATATATATAATTACCAATATATATATATATACTGTTATAATTTTTTTTTTATATAGCTTAGTTTCTAGTATATCAATCCTTTAAAAATTAAGCTCTTCAAAGTTTAAGATAAGTTTTAGATATTTATATTCATTTTTTTTTATGAACAGAATTAACCCAATTAAAAATACATTCAAGATCATCTCCATTTCTTCAGACCAAATTAAAATTTTTACGCAGGTGTTAGTGATGGGTCAGTCCTATGGAGCTTGGTAGTTCTGACATTCTATTTCAATAGTAAAAGAATATTGTGTTTACTCCATCCGGATCAAATTAGACATACTTTTTCAGAATTTAATTTTTTAAGATGATAGATTTTAATAGATTTTTGATGTATTAATAGTAAATGAATTATCAAATATGTTTATAGCAGTTTACATGATGTGTTAATTTACTTTTCTATAAGTTTAATGTAAGAAAGTTAAATTGTTATGTTACTAAAACAATATTTTGACTTTTTAAATAAAATATTTATTTTTTAAGAGCCAAAAATAAAAAAATGGATATTTAATTTGAGAGAAAATATTATTTATTGCCAAATTTACAAATGACAGACATGTATTTACTTGGTATATATATAATTCTATTGTCATAAAGTGGAAGCTTTATTTTGGATGAAAAAAATAGTAGAAAATGAAAGTAAAATTAAATTAAGGGGCTTGTTTGGCAATTATTTATTTATTTATTTATTTTTGCTTCGAATAGTGTATTATAGTACAAACCAAGCACACGTTTATTACTATTTGAATAATACTGAAGTCTCTATAAAAAAGCAGCCACAATCCAAAGTATCAAATTGTTGATTGCACACTGTAGCAAAAGTAATTTTCATTAAAAAAAAATGAAAAATCCTAAAATAATGTTTTTAACAAGTTATTTAAAATTTTAAATTTGTAACATTTTTTATGGCAACTATATTTTCATGTTCTTATGTTTTTGCTTAAAAATTTTTGCAACTGATATATGTTACAAAACATGTCTCGAAAATATATGTTATAACATAAACATTATATCTACTTTGGCACAAAATAATTTTTATTGCCAAACGAACTATAAATAAATGAAAGAATTGTAAAAAAAATATTTCTAGTGTATTTAATTAATATTAAAATATATATATGAGAAACAATAATTTTATGATTTGAACGGAATCAAATTTATCATAAAATCATAAAAGAAAATATATTATTCTAACTCCATAAATTTTTCTCAACAAATCAAATATATATATATATATATATATATATATATATATATTAGTAAACCAAGATTATAAAATTAGGTGATTATGAACAGTTAAAAATATATTTTTCCTATTAAACTTTTAAAGTTTACAGAAAGTTTAAATTTTTTATTTCCTTATCATTTTCTTCCAACCAAACTCCACAATTTCTTGAAATTCAAAATGCCTTTTAAAATACCTCACGTTTCAATTTTTTTTTAATTCCTCTCGTTATTCAATGTAATCCACAACATTGAGCAAAAGAAGGGGGGTACAACTTGAACGACCTGGTCAAAGAGTTAAATGGCAGTCAAAAAGTCAGATGTCAGTCAAAGCATGTGTGAGACGGGACTCATCGATGCGAATCATGTCCTTGCAACCAAACACCACCAGAGTTCTACCTCGTTATAATTTATGCACAAAATCACTAAAAAATCATAAAATATTTTAATGTTTCTTTATGACCAAAGAAACCGTCCAAATTTATCCATCAACATTCTCTTTCATCATTTCTCTCGCACTGACTCCCTCGACTATTAGGCCATTGCAAGAATTAGGGATGGGAGGAAACGGACACTCGTCCATCCCTTGTAGCAATTTTAAAAGACTGTTTAATTTATATAGATAAGAATGAATTTTAATAATAAAAACTCACACGGATTTAGGATAAGGAAGGAGGAAGTCACCTTAACCTCCTATTTAAGTAGATAAATTACTAAATTATTCTTAAATTACATTAACTCACTTTATAGTTAGTTCTATAAACCTTAAGTTACATTTATTCTCTTTCTCAATAGTTCTAATGAGCAACAGAGCCCTACAAATTTAGAACGTTTGTACTTTTAAATTTTATATTAAACTATTGATTGCCCATTTTTTTATAATTTTTTAAATTAATTATATAATTGTATTTAAGGAAAAAAAAAAATTCTGAAACTAGACGAGACAGTTGCTCGCGGGGGTAAAAAAATTAACGGGGCAGGAATGAGATTGAAAGATCTCCCATTTAGGCAGTTTTGGACGAGGATAGGCACAACAGTTTCTAAACAATTGTGAAATCGAAAGAAGGTACATCCATCCAAAATGCACCGTTGTCATCCCTAGCAAGAATTCCGAATTGAACTAAAAAACACAAATAAGACAGTGATCAAGTCTGTTAACAGAAAAATGAAATTACCTTTTAGCCCTAAAACTAAACCGCGTGATTTTGAGTTCTATGCAACTTCAGCTCGTGATGTGGCAAATGTAATTTCAACATCCAATAAAAAAGTGACACCACATCAACCTTATCATATTGTACGGTTATATTTAATTTCTAGCGCTGGACAGTTCCGTTCTTCATTTTCTTCCTTCATCATCTCCTTCATTTGTTCCAGTGATGCTCTGTAAACCTTAAAACCCGAAGTTCTCAGGTGATCCGCACCTTAGCACTAAGTTGCCTCAATTACGTGCTAAATCAATCGACCCCAAATCACTGTTCTATGCAGAAATTCAATACATTTCTATTTTTTTGCACATACAACACATACTTATATGGTGTATATGTATAAATATAGATATATATATCCATTGACTACCAAACCATCTGCATCCTCCTCTAATTCTCTTGCATTTTATGTGTCTATCAATAAATATATGTGTATGTATATGTATTGCTTATGCTTTTTCATACATACTTATGGCTGTTTTCCTTTTAATTGGATCGACCTGGTCTTTCATCCCTTCTCAAATCATACTAGAACCATAAACCCACTACTCTATCTATCGTATCACAAGCTTTCCTTTGCGATGGTTTGTTGACCATGAAATTCTGGGGTCGAGGATTTACTGGAAATCAAATGTTAGGATTATTACAGGATAGTTCAGGTTTTTTTTTTTTTTTTTGGGAAAGAGAATAAAGATTGGGGGAGTTTAGCGCAGTTAACCCTATTTAATATACAAGTATTTTTAAGAGTTCTGCTAAAGAATTCCGCTAGTGTGAACATAGCAAGATACTCTCATTCCTTAGGGCGCATTTTAGGTCAATATCAAAATAATTGTTTTGTTATAAGTGTGTTTTGCGTATAAATTCGAACCATATTTAATAACAAAAATTTGTTTTTAAGAAATTAAAAAATTTGTTTTAGTTCTTCCATTATAATGTCAAAACATATAATATTACTAATTTGGTAATATAAATTTGAATAAAAAAATATAATATATTATGAATTATTTCAAAATAATATCAACTGTCCAAATATAATATGAGTTTAAATTTAAAAACCAATATTATAATACATTCCAAATAGGCCCTTAGTTATTATGCTATTATCTTTGCTTTTTCGGCGGAAGATAGAAAAATGTGTGTGTGTGTGTATAACATCTCCTTGCATTCAAAGGTTGAAAATACTCTATGTTATCTTAAAATGCCCTAGACAAGTCACGTAGCTTCAGCCACAGCGGGTCAAAGGAGATTGGATTCCACTATTGCAGGTCGGGGTAAATTAAAAACATGTTAGGTTGAAAATTCGCAGATATTCTCATTTTGAGGTAGTTTAGATATCACTATCCTTGCATTCAAAAGTTGAAAACATTTTATAATACCATATTTCTTTCATTTTTAAATGACAAAATTAAACACACTACAATAAATATATATTTTAACCATTTCCGTTAAATTCAAGCTTTTTCTTCCTTGATCACGAAATTCAAGAGCATATATGGCTGTTCTTAGATTTCTTAATTAGTAAATGGAATGGTTTTCCAATTTTACTTTGTATATATTATTTACTTGCTCATGTGGATTTCTTTACTGGAATAAGGTGAAAGTCAAATGCCATGAATTTCCTTAAGAAAAGCAATTCTCAAGTTATTTAACTCAACAGGAAATGGATGACATTAACATCACGTGGATGATCATATTCCATGTGTTCAAAAACTGAGTATTGATATTGTCTTGATCAAATAATTTCTTGAATGTCATGAAGATGAAGTGATAAGATAAAATATTTATTGAATGTCATGAAATTAATAGAAAATATTTTTATTTGAATTATTGCGTGCGATTTCTTTGAAAAATAATCAATAAAAGTTGAATCACAAAAAGACAGTAATTAATATCATTGGTTGAATTCACAACACACGAGACTTAAGTTTTGGAAAGGCACTTATACTTGACACATAATTTTATTTATTTTTTAAGTTAGAATCCAAACAATGCCTCAAATAAGAAAAATTATTACATCATCTGAACTTTAAGTACCAAAAAAAAATTATTACTACATATATAATCTAAGATCACATGATTTTCACGTATCCCAATCACACTGAACTGTCATTTTTGTATGATTTGAAATATTATTATAAGGAAAAAACAAATCTCAACGGATCAACTTATATGGAGAATTATTACTACAAAAGTGAAAAAAAAAAGAAATGAATTGAATATTTGGTACATTGGTACTTATTGCACAAATATGGATGGCTGTGAGATAAAAGTTTTTTGAAAAATAATTTTTAAAGCAAATAGTCTGGCCCATTAGTCTGAGCTGAGATGTCTTCAAATGTATTGAAGTGGGTTCATATAGTCTCTTTCGTATTAACTTGAAATGTTATTAATTCATTGTCTCTTTCTAAAATTACTAAACCATTCTTTGAAGTTTAAAAATATATCATATTACATCGAGAATTTTGTGAAAACTTGAAGAATATTAATGAAAAGAAGTATTTATCTTTCTTGACCTTTCAAATGGGAAAAGGGAGAAATTGAGAATCCAAAAAGAAAAGAGAAACCATTAACATGAGAATCTCTCATATTTGGAGATGGTATTAGGTACACCGGGCACATTAGAGGCATTCGTACACAACATGCGCAAGAACAGACAACTCTAATACATTTTTCATTGCAAGGTGAATTTTTATTGATTGGACATACTAATGACGTGATATGCCTGATTTATCGAAAATTTACTCAATATTAAAAAATGTATTAAATAATTTATTTAAATTTTTATCGATTTTAAAAAATTATCTCAATAAAATGAAACAATATAGAAAAGTCAGGGTAGTTGTTATCACGATGGAGAGGTTTTTTTTTTTTTTTTTTGTGGGGGGGGGGGGGGGGGGGGTGTGTGGGGTGGAAAAAACTTTTCCTGGTGGTGCCTTTGTTTTTCTTTTTGCTATTGTAATGAGAAGTACTTTTCCATACATACATTGAAAATGATATTTTAACACATTTACAGACAAGAAGAAAGATTTGATGGCATAAGTTCATGTGTAATTTTGGTTCTCATTACTAAAACAGAAATTTCCCTTGCCCAACCGATGATGATTTGACCCAGCTCTTTCCGGTTGTAGGCATGGATTCGTCATGGTCTTGGGCTTGGGCTTAATCCTTTTAGGGCTGTAAGTGCGATGGCCCTCACCATTATGATACAATACCCCGATAAGGTAGCACCAACCACCAAGGTTCACTTGCATATTTAATTTGTTCCAATTTTATTAATACATGTTATTTTTGTCAATTTCTTGTTCTTATATATATATATATATATTGTTCAGAAAAACAAAAATGGAATATATTGTTGTCAATCTCTCTATTTTTTAATTCACTTCCTTCAACTAAACCCCCAAATAAATTAAGAAGATTCTCCTTAGACCATTCTCCTTTATCTTTTTTCTGTGTGTTCTTTCCATCCTAAAGCAATGTTAAAAGTGAAAAAGGAAGAGAAGTGATTGGATTGCACCGTCACCTTTGCTTTAGAAGTGAGAGTACATTAAATTGAGAGAATAGCTAAGTGAGTTGGTGGATTATCCATTATATCCTTTATACACACACACACATACAATAAATTATCCACACCAAATATAGTCAGGCGTTGGATATGATTTTTTTTTCTTTAATTATTATTTTAAAATTATCTTTTTTTACACTTATATCCTATCAGCAATAAGATAATTTCTGTATATATTCCCCCAAAAGTATTTCCTTTTTATTCTTTTTCTTTTTTTTTTCTCCTTCTTTTTATTTATTTATTTAGTTTTTTTTTTGGTTTTGTTGCTCATTAATATGTTTTTCCTTTCCCCTCCCTTCCCGTCATTCTCTATGAAAACTTGTAATATCTTGATTTATTACTTTGGTTTATCACATGGAAAATGGTATATTTTGCGCTACAAGGGACAACCGACAATTTAGTAACTCTGTTATATAAATAAACACTCACCATTTGTTTTTTTAATTGAAAATAATCATTTAGTGATGGAGGAACTGATTAAAGAAGTGAACACAAATGTAATATAAAGGTTGAGTACCAATTGATTTTCAAAAAAATAGAAGATTAAGTACTTCCTAATTGATTTTCAAAAAAATAGAAGATTAAGTACCATGACTTAGAAAGGAACAAATAAAGATGGAAAATGATTTTAAAGTCGAGGAGTTGTAAAGATTTTCTTGAGTAAATATTTTTAATTGGTCATCTATTCGATCAAAATGTAAGGAAGGGGGCAATCAAGAGTATTCGATCAACAAATTTTGCCAATTTCTTTGACCTTAGCATCACTACTCATAATAGATCCATCATTTTCAGCTTTCACAGACCCATGCTTGGAAAACTTTTTAAAACTTAGTTGTCCTCACGAGAAATTATTTGATGGTCTGATTTATTCAATACATATATGGTGAACTAATTCAATTAAAGCTCTTCTATCATAAGACTTTGTAATATATTAATACTATCTTACATCATTTTTTTTAATTCATTAGTATGCATTTAACTAATATATTAAATATTAATGATACAGAAACATCTGATAATTTCTGAGATCCTCACATGCATGGTGTCATAAAATCGTTATTATTGGCAAGAAAAGTCTGCACATGCAATGATCAAAAGCCCGTTTGATGAACATGATCAATTGATGTCATAATCATTTCGCTGAATCTAGAGAAATGATCACAAGAAATGTTTTTTGTCAAACTAGAAACTCAAGTACGTTGTGTCTATTTTAAAGAATATAATAGAGATTTAATATTTTAGAAAAAGAAGATCGAGATCAGAAAGTATTTACCTTGAAAGAAAAAAAAAAAAGAAAAAAGAAATAATGGGAATTAAGTCTCCATGGGAGGTCACTGCGCGCAGATGCATTGTTCAACCAAGCCTCCATGGGAGGTCATTGATTCATGTTTTGAGTTAAGCCAACTCTACTTGCATAAATTAATTGCAGCCAATGTATTCATGATCAAAACAAACCCTAAATCAACCCCCACCTATGCACTTTTCTGGGACAGAAACAAATCAATACCAGCTAGCCCCAGCACAGAAATAACAGATGTAACAGCAAGAAGAGTAAGAAACTAAGAATATATATATATATATATACATATATGAAATAGTATGGAAAGCTATAATAAGGACCATCAGTATAATTACCAAAAAAAACAACTGGGCATTCTTCTGTAAAATTGATGACTACATAAAAGATAACTCTATACACTCCTTGATAATGAAAAAAAAAAAAAAAAAGCATAAATTTTTTTCATGATTTTCTCAGAAATAATGTACAAAGTGATTGAATGATTTGAATCAATGGTATCCTCTTGTCCCTCTGGATTGATAGAGTTCCAATCTACTTTTGGCTTCAAATAGTAGCTCTTCAACTTCATGATCTTGCACCAAAGGCCCTTGCTTTGTTGCCCACTCGAGCACGATAAGCACCTCTTCTTTCGCTAATGTCTCACTATCCGGTACGTGCATTGCAAGGTAAGATAACAGAATCAATGCTGGTAATTGAACAATTTGTTCACCAAAGTACACAAGTTGGATTAGGTGCTTAGCACCCCCTTCATCTATTATGGCGTTGGAGTGATTCGCATGGAGATAATTGTCGGTGCACGCGAATTTGATCAAAGCATTCGCTGCCTCTCTCGAAACATCAGGTTCCCTTTCATCCAGCAGCTGAACAATTGGCGCTATAATTCTTGTTTCGGTTGCCCGGAAAGTCCTTGCCAAGTTTCCAACAGCTCTGATGCAGGGAATGAGGAGGTCCGAGTCTGCTTGTTTGATTATTTTCATGAACTGGTCCACAAGGGCTTTTGCAGCCGGTGAAGTGGGCTTGAAAGCATTGCGCCTCAAGTCGGCATTTTGCTCTGCCACCGCCGTGATTTCCATAAGTGCCATGACTGAGTTATATTGAACATCATCAGGACCATTTTCTAACAAAACTGCAAAGCATAGAAGTGCTTTTGACTCCGTTATGCTTGAACATATGGAGACATTCCCTGCACAGAGGTGCCAGAGGGCTCTCGCCGCCATCGCCTTCATTTGAGCCTTGGTAGCCGGATCCACAGATTCCTTCGCCTTATGGCTAGTCCCGGCGGTTACAGAATCGTGGCCGTGAGTCTGGTGGCGTTGCTGCTTTTGGGGGCGGCTTGACTTGGTGGCGGTGTGATTACTCTTGGCATGGTTAGGGTGGCTTTGTGATGGGGTTGTGTTGGATGGGTTTTTCATGGTCATGGTATTACTAACCAAATTGTGCATTGAGCTTGTAGTATTATTGCCCAATGGATGAGAAGACTGACTATGTAATTGCTTAACGTCGTCGTTGTTGTTGTCGGTTTTCGAAGCCATTACAATGGTGTGGAGGGAGGTCATTGCATGTTTGTTTGGGACAACATACTTGCTATGTTCTTGAATGGTTTCGAATGCGAGATGACCCACAAGCAAACGAATGGTATTGGTTTGAGCGAAATGGTCTTGACATTTGGGGTGATGTGCGGCCATCTCCGAGACAGCCCAAGCCACCACGACTTGAATCTTCATGGGACCGTCTTTGAGGATTTTCGCAAACACCTGGCACACACCACCATTCACAATGTGTTCGATGCTTTCCGGATCACGACCCAGAAGCCCAATGGCCCTCGCAGCGTTCTCTTGACCCTCCGGTCGTCCTTCCTTGGCCAATTTCAACAATGGCACAACCCCACCTTCCTCTATAATAAGCTTCCCATATCGATCATTGTCCCGAGCCAAAGACACAAGAGAAGCTGCAGCATCTGATCGTTCGTCGAGTGACCCCGAACACAGGACGGCTATTTGTTCCCAAATGAGGCACAGAATTGGCTCGTTGGAGGCAATGGGAGGGAGGCCGAGATAGTCATCGCGCTCCTCCGCCGGGTTGGTGACTCGGAGGAGCCAAGACACGTCGCCGTAGGAGTTGTCGAGCTGCTGAGATATTTTCCGAAAGGCTGCAGTGGGGATGATGGTGAAGACGCGCTTGAAGCCGTTGGCGCTGCACTTGATGATGAGGCTGAGGGCCTTGTCAAGGACTTGTCCGGTGTCGTCCATGATGCGGCGCGTGGGCCGCTCATAGATGTCGTTGGTGGAACGCGCCGCCTGCCGAAGTTGACCCAGCAACTTCTCCGTTTTCGCCTTGATCTCCGCGCATTCCTGTTTCATAGAATTCACATTGTCGGCCGCCTTCACCACCTGATCACCCAACTGTATCGGCCTCGCTAGAATTAGTTTCACCTTGTCCGCCATGGCCACACCAAGCGGACCACTAGCCATATATATTCAAACTGCCAACAAAAACTCAATATATATGTTCTAGAGAGAGAGTTGGATTTTCCTTGAAAATGAGATGTGAGAAAACGTTTTGGATGTTCAAATGTTTGTTTGATCAAAAATCAAAACAAACACTGAGTGCTATGAGGTATCATATCAAGGATTTTTATAAATTAGGTGGCTATTTTTATTTGTTTCTTTTATTCAATAGGGGTTAGGGGATTGAAAATGTCTTTCTATTGACATCCACTGAGTGTGGTGGTGATGGTAGAGGTGGTGGCGGCGGCGGCGGAGGTGGTTGTCAGAGAATAACTTTGAGCTTTGGGGTTTTGCAATGGTCAAACGCAATTTTCTCACTCTTTTGTTTTGCCTAACAAATGCAAAAAACATAGTTGTAACCTTGTTTATAGGAGTCGTACGGATTGGCTTCAAAAGCTCGTTTGGACTGCATGGGAAGAGAAATATCCCAGACTTCAAGGCTACGATTACAGCACACGCTTCAATCTGAGGAGGTTGTCTAAGTATTGCTTCGAGTGTTAACCGCTGGATGACGAATGTGTAATCCACGCTCATGGAGTGAGAGTGGATATATCTTAGAAGAATCAGAACAAGAGCATACCAATGAAACTTGTTTAGTTTAGAAACTTATGCCACGTTTGCTTATCACCAAACATGCAATGGATAACTTAATTTAATTTAACAAAGTTTTCCATCAATGTATAACCATTCACTCTCTTTCTATTTTAATCTTCATATAAATTCTGTAAGATATTTTATGTATCTTTGGTTAAAGGGAAGTCTTGCATATGCATGAGTATTGAGTACTCATTTTAAGATTTATTTGGCATTCGCTTCTTTTTAAAATCTATTTTATTTTAAAAAAACAGAAAGAACGTAAACAATATGAAAAGAAATCTTAAAACAATATTTTTGAAAAACACATTTGTCAGATTTTTATTATGTTTAAGAAAAAGAAGAAGCTGTTTTTGGAATTTTCATTAGCTAGTATTATTTTTTAAAAAGTTCATATATATATATATATATATGCACACACGTACAGACACATATTAAACATGCATGAGATCGACTAACATAAATGAAGGTGCTTCAAACCCTAGATCAACTTGCACGTACAGTTGCACGCAACATACATGTCACCTCGTCGACTGAAAAACACACTGCACATCCATATCACACGCATGGACATATATATATGTGATATGTCACCCACTAAAACTTTGGCCTCGTACTTCATATATATATTCTCACCATAAGCCTGTAATTTTGTTGCGCCTTTGTAATTGTTCCATCATTGTCATTGGAGGACTGATAGTTTGATTTGTTTAACCTTAAAAAGTATAGTCTAATTTTGATTTGTTGTGAATGTTAGGTGAGAGGTACTAACGTTATTAAGTTTATAATGTACCAAAGGATGAATGTTAGTTTAATTAGGTGTGAAGTGCCATCCAAAAGGCAGGTTATTATCGCCAGAAATAGCCAGCTAGCTAATGAATTTGGCACGTATTATATTATATTAGAGATAGATCCTTTTGAGTGATGAAATTTATGTGTGATGCTGTATCGTTAAATCATGAAAGAAGCTCAATATGTTATCTCATTACCAAATTTATTATTACATTAAGTAGGTACAAATCACCTTTGCTACTCTTTATGTGTGTGTTCAAAACTTCACGTCTGGTGTCTTTTCAGCTTTCTCACCCAAGGCAATCCCAAAGAGTTGGTACACTTACATTAAGTGCTTTTGATTCAACTTTTCGAAAATCAAAAGGTAGTTTGATTCAACAGTAACCAGGAATTAATTGCGACAAAGTTACAGTGACAACATGCATTTAAAATGAGATATCATGTTTGGTTTGGCTTAACAAACTACAGATTTAATACATAGTACCAGACATCAATATTGTTTATTAGATTTTTATTTCTAGATGATGGTGGCGTTACAAGAGGTTGTTTAGGTTTTGGTTGTTCAAATCATTTTCCACAAGTAACAGGGACATTCTCACTAATTTCAAAAAACAGATCACAGGTACAAGTGTGATCGCATAACTGAAATATATAACATGTGACTCCTGAAGACGACGACAAGAGATTTTTGTACGTTCCACAGATCTATATATGTACGGATTCTTGTCCGTACTTTATCATCTAACCCACCATCATTTTTATGCAGGTGAACAGGCGGAGGCAGAGGGTGACTAGGTGATCTCTGCTCTGTTTTTGTTTGCTCTTCGCAGGCTACAGGGTTCAGTATCGAGGGCGCAGAGAAGATTCGGACATTGGGACAAAGAAGAAAAATGGTAGCCAACTTGGATGGATCCATTTAAGTTTAGTCGTTGTACAAACAAAACTTCAATAGGTACCATCATTACTTCAAAATTATTATTATTATTATTATTTTTTTTTTAATTTTTTTTTTTTCTATACATATAAATATACATATGAGTAACGCTGCAAAGTAGGGGTGACAAATTACGACACGAACCCAACACGAGTTAAAAAAGTTTGGGTTTGGTATAAACGAGTTTGGGTCATAAAAGGATCAATACGATTAACTTGTTTACTTAACCGTGTCAGGTTAGGGTTAAGGAGTTCAACCCGTGTAACCTGTTTATGACCCATTTAACTCAATATGTTATAATCGTGATTATAACTTATGTAATATGTTACCTGTTTAAACTCAATTATTATGAATAGTTAAGTCATTTTAATATAAATCTTATTTATGCCTTATGATTTTTCTTTTTATTTTGAATATTTGGGTTAATTATGACAATTTTTTTTTTCGATTATTTAGTATTTGTTTAAATATTAAATATCTCGTTTTAATAAACAGGTCATTAAACGAGTTAACACGTTTACCTGTTTAATAAACGGGTTAGGTTAGTGTTGAAATTTTTGACACAATTATTAAATGGGTTGGGTTTGAATTTACTTATTTAGTATAATATCTTTACATCGACATGAACCCTACTGCAAAGTAATTCCCGTGTATAGAAACTGGCCTCGTAGATTAGAAGCTACAAAATCTCATCTTGAAGTTGAAGCTGCTTTAATGATAGATTTTTAATTTGGACGGTTTGATTTTATGTAGAATAAGGGCCACGGAATTGCATACATTTGGAATTTGCAAAAAGGACAGTTCAATTATCCACTACACTTCAATTATTTAGATTAAATTGTTAAATGCGTTACAATAATAACAATTGATAAAATACTTTTTTTAAGAGCGTCAGAATATGAGTAAAATGCAAATATTTGTCGGTGACAAAATTTGATTGACTTATTTATTTATTTTTTAAGTAAATATATTCTATGAAAATTATTATGCCCACCTTGTCCCATACCCATAGGGACGAGAAAGTAGTACTAGGCTTGTCCCCATTGAAAATCAAAAGGTAGTTTGATTCAACAGTAGCCAGGAACTAATTGCGACAAAGTTACAGTGACAACATGCATTTAAAATGAGGTATCATGTTTGGTTTGTCTTATCCATATATACACGAAACCAAAAGGCAGTACAAAGTAAGTATTGTTGAACTCTACGTACTAGCGTACTAGGATAAAATGTTGTTTATAGCGAGTATACCCTTGGTTGGGTCTCACCATATTTTCCACTGGATCTCAAAATCAGCCAAATTATATACATATAGCAACAAACCACTGAGAATACGAAACTAAAAATACAGGACACAATCTCCGATTTCATGCACATCCCACGAGTCATTACATGGTGTTGTGCGCCAAAACGACGCACAAAGCCACAACACTGGCTTGCATTAGGTTTTGTGTCTCTGTAGTGTAGCAACACGATGTTTGGCGCACGGACTCTTTCAAATAAGGGGAAATCCATTTTGAGAGGCTGGCAGGAGGCTGAAATCTGAATATAATTAATCAAATATGTAATGCTATTTTAATCCAAATCAGAGGATTGACAATCTCAAGCTTTCTGATACAGTTCAATGTCATTAATTTTTATCAAATCGTACTTGTTGGTTAATTAATTAAAGTCCATCAAATTAATTACCCAAATAATAATGGGTTAAGTGCAGAAAACCCCCCCTCATATATAGACTTTGTACAGAACAAGTCCCTACTTTTTGAAAAAGTGCATGCAAGTCCTCAAAATTCAAAAAAGGTGCATAACAGGTCCCTCTGACAACTTTTTACGAAAAGTAAAACTTAAAACCCTATTTTACCCTTTTCTTTCCCATTTTGCCCCTCACAATTTGTGCATAAAAGACCCTCAGCATTTGTGCATAAAAGGCTCCCATCATACTATGTTCAGCAGTCAAAATAAATGTATCATCAACATCAAAATAAATGTTTGATATAGAAAAAATATTAACAGAAAAAAAGAACATTAACAAAAATAAATAAATTAAATTTCACTTTATCATTACTAGTAAAATATACCCTTTTCTTGTTTTTTTTTTTTCTTTTCTTTTGTTTTTTTATCAATAGGCAACTTTTATCTATTAATGAAAAAAAAAGAAAAAGACTATGGGTACGTTTGGTTATGGAATTAAATTACAATTCTAGTTCAATTTATTATTTTTTAATTATATTAGAATTCTAATTCTGTTTGATTCAACTTTAGAATTTGTATGGAGTAATATTTATTTATTTTTTTTAACAAAAATATAATATTTATCTTATACTTATTAAATTATTATATATTATAACAAAACAATATTAGCACCAATTTTAATTAAAATGGCAACCATGCATATACACGAATTCTTGTTCCCAATTTTTATTGAACAAATTAAAAAGTCACATTAAACTCGTCAACTTATAATTTTTTTTTTTTTTCCTAAATAACTTATAAAAAATTATAAGTATTTGTAGGGGTTTTTTATCATAATGCAATAAAAAACTAGAGATATCAAATTACAAATATGAGAGGCTCAGGGAAGAAATTTGGTTGAAGAGAAGAAAGTAGACATGGATCAAAT